GTTTGTGCGGGCACACGATTCGGGGTGTCAGGTAGAGTGGGGAAATCATTTCCAAGCAATCTACCAGGAGGCATCGCGGGGCTATTGGTTGTGGGATGGTATTTGCGGTTTGGAAGAATGGTGTCCCTCGTGTTGACTCCGTTCGCGCCTGGTGCTCTTCCGTCCTGCACTAGCGCTGCGAGTCAGACATGTTATTATTTTGAGACCTCATAGTTTCGATGCGTGGACGAGACCTTTCCCTCTCGTGCATGCAAACACCGCCCGCGTCAGCTTCCTGTGTAAGGTTTGTGGCGAAGGCGCCATGGGAGTGCCGGGGAGGGGCGCGACGTGCTCGACGAGCAGCTGGTCGGCGCGTCCAGCACGCGGACGAAGGCGGTCGCGCCTGGGTCCGTTGCCTCGATCCTTCAAGGCCGTTCGAGGCGGCTACACGCGATGGAGATCTTGGACGGATCCACGCAGAACACGTATTGCGAGAATAATAATGGCGTTAGCCGAGGACAAGAACACCATCTTCAGGCATATCCCTGCCGGGGAAGGGTTTCCGGGTGGTATCTCACCATTCCACCTGTAACCACTTCCTCGATGAGGATCTTCCCGAAAATGGTGTTCTTTTGGCTGGCTAACATCATGAGTTTCCCCCCCATGCCTCCTGAATGTGGTCTTGAAGGATCCGTACGCGACCGCCCTCACTCCGCGTGCTGGACGCGTCGACGGGATGCATGTCGAGCACCTCGCGCTCCCCGTTTTGCTCTAGTGCAGCCTTCGTGACAATCCTACACACATAAGCCGAAGCGGGCGGTGTTTGCTCGAGGGGGGAGGTTATGGTCCAAGCATCGATACTATCATTTAGGTCACACAACCAATATCAAATCACGTCGTCGCGACCACCACAAAGCTTGGGCGAAAAACGTCACGGTCTCGGCTCGACCGCGCCCAGGGTGGGTTGCACACGTCGGTCACTTGGGTCCATCGAGCGACACACACAAGCCATTGGTTTTCCCATCGTGACACCGACCAAAGGGTCGTTGGCAACGTTGTCACGCGCACCGGTTTGTGAGCCAACCCTTGCTTGTTGTCGTTGGGTACATCGCCCGACCACTCTATGAAACCGGGTCATTCCCGACCGAAGTTCGTCCAAAGGCAAGGCACCTTTCGACGGACCCCGGTCAGCAATGACCCGGTTTTATAGAATGGTCTGGCGACGTACCAACGAAAACAAGCAGGGGTCGGCCCACAAGCCGTTGCGCGTGACTATGTCGCCTACGACCCCTTCGTCGGTATCACGGTGCGAAAACCAGCGGTCTCACCAGGACCATCGCACGTGAAACCGACGCGGCACCTGCAACCCCTCCGCCACTGCCACCACCAACGCCGCCGCAGCAGCGGTTGGCGGCACGCCCCCCGCCTCTCGGCCCGGCCGTAGAGCTGGGCCGCACTCCTACCACCGGCCCCATTGGCTCGGCTCGAAGTGGTGCTGTGGTTTCCGATGCTCGCCAGTGCGTGGGGCGGACCGCAATGCGGAGCTTAGCCACACAAAATAAATACACGAGTCTACCATGAGGCAGTGCTCAAATGCGAAGCAAGCGCTACAGGATGCAGCCCTTATTCCCAAGAGGCCAAGCAAGAGCTTTTCCGTCCACTCCCGGCCACTGTTCCATATCTTCTATGCTTCTGACGCCACTCCCGGTAGCGTTTTCCACCGGTGTCGCTGCCCATCTTGTGAGCGGGCTCCTTCCCGGTGGGAGTGGCGTCAGCAGCATCGAAGATATGGAACAGTAGCTGGGAGTGGACGGCAAAGCTCCTGCTTGGTCTCTTGGGTATCAGTGCTGCACACTGCGCACTGCCTGACGACAGACGTGGCATGGTTGAAACGGGGTTCAGGCGCTTCCATGACGTGTGTCGACAGAAACGGTACACAATGTCAGAGGTTTCGAAAAGTCAGGGCCAGCGGATTGATTGCTAGGGTGTACAACAAGGGACGACTGGCAGGGACGTTCGGTCACACGATTCGGGGTGTCAGGTAGAGTTGGGAAATCATTTCCAAGCAATCTACCAGGAGGCATCGCAGGACCTATGGAATGTGGGATGGTATTTGCGGTTTGGAAGAATGGTGTCCCTCGTGTTGACCCCGTTCGCGCCTGGTGCTCTTCCGTCCAGCACTAGCGCTGCGAGTCAGACATGTTATTATTTTGAGACCTCATAGTTTCGATGCGTGGACGAGACCTTTCCCTCTCGTGCATGCAAACACCGTCCGCGTCGGCTTACCTGTGTGGCGAAGGCGCCGTTGTTGCACCAAAGTATATGGAGGGGCGCGACGTGCTCGACGAGCAGCTGGTCGGCGCGTCCAGCACGCGGACGAAGGCGGTCGCGCACGGGTCCGTTGCCTCGAACCTTCACGGCTGCTGTTCGAGGCGGCTAGATGTGATGGGGATCTTGGACGGATTCACGCATAGGGTGCAATGGGGGAAGTATCATGGTGTTGAGCCAGGGACAACAGCACCATCTTCAGGCATATCCCTGCCGGGGAAGGTTTCCAGGCGGAATAGTAGGCGCATCTCACCATTCCACCTGTAACCACTTCCTCGATGAGGATCTTCCCGAAAAAGGTGTTCTTGTGGCTGTCTAACATCATGAGATTTCCCCCCATGCCTCCTGAATGTGGTCTCGACGGTTCCGTCCAGCATCTCCACCATGTTGAGCCGTTTCGAATAGTCTCGAAGGATCCGTACGCGACTGCCCTCATTCCGCGTGGCGGATGCGTCGAAGAGATGCATGTCGAGCACGTCACCCTCCCCTTTTTGCTCTTGTGCAGCGACGCCGCCTTCTCCACAAATCCTACACCCGAAAGCCGACGCGGGCGGTGTTTGCTCGAGAGGGAAGGTTATGGTCCAAGCATCGGTACTATCATCTACGTCACACAACCAATATCAAATCACGTCGTCGCGACCACCACAATGCGTTGGGTGAAAAACGTCACGGTCTCGGCTCGACCGCACCCAGGGTGGGTTGCACACGTCGCTTGGGGTCTATCGAGCGACACACACAAGCCACTGGTGTTCCCATCGTGACACCGACCAAGGCGTCGTTGGCGACATTGTCACGCGCAACGGTTTGTGAGCCAACCTCCGCTTGTTTTCGTTGGTACGTCGCCCGACCACTCTGTAAAACCGGGTCATTCCCGACCGAAGTTCGTCCAAAGGCAAGGCACCTTTCGACGGACCCCGGTCAGCAATGTCCCGGTTCTACAGAGTGGCCAGGTGACGCACCGAACGAAAACAAGCAAGCAGGGGTCGGCCCACAAGCCGTTGCGCGTGACTATGTCGCCTACGACCCCTTGGCCGGTGTCGCGATGGAAAAAACAGCGGCCTCACCAGGACCATCGCACGTGAACCCCGACGCGGCACCTGCGCCCCGTCCGCCACTGCCACCACCAACGCCGCCGCAGCAGCGGTTGGCGGCACGCCCCTCGCCTCTCGGCCCGGCCGTAGAGCTGGGCCACACTCCCACCACCGGCCCCATGGGCTCGGCTCGGAGTGGTGCTGTGGTTTCCGATGCTCGCCAGTGCGTGGGGCGGACCGCAATGCGGAGCTCAACCACATAAAATAAACACACACAATACGGGGCGATGATCTTAGCATGGGAGAACCAGATGATGGAGCAAGAGCAGGACACTGCTGTCGTCCAACTCCTGCATCCCCACTGTGGGTATAACCTTTCCGTGTCATTAGAACGTGTTGCTTTTTCTTTTTCGTCGCTAAGTGTTTTCATTGGTCCGCCTGTTGCCGCGGTCAATATGCTAAATATGAAAACACACATACCCCGGCGCCCGACGACTCTAAAACCTGCAGAAAAACAACTGGCGGCATATACCACCTCACAATAGCCACACAACCAAGAACCACAATTGCTCGTTGATGGGCACCGCCTCCAGAGAATACCAACCTCCGACAGCCTCCGTGCCGTGTGCCTCGGAAGCATGATGAAGGCACGAGGCAGGTCGTGCCCGTCTTGTCTCTCTGCCCTCTCGTGCTTACTTATCAGCACCACAGCGAGCTAACTCGCGTGCCGAGCGAATTCGACCTTGCGTGGAGAGGAGGGGCTCACGAGGGGGGCCCGCGAGTCAAAAAATTACGTAAATAGCCAACAGGCACAGAACAGGAGGCCAAGCTCCCGCAAATGATGATCGGGGCCTCAGTCCTCATGGAGAATGGTGGTGGTGTAGACGCAACCTCGCAAGATTGGTATCTTCTGGAGGAGGTGCCCATCAACGAGCGTTGGTGGTTTGTTGTGTGGCTTTTGTGGGGTATGTGCGGTACATGGGTGTGTTGTGCGGGTAAATGTGCGGTATACATTTTTTATTTTTTGGCGCGGGTTTTAGAGTTGTCGGGCGCCAGGATTATCTGACAATCTCTGGGCTTAATATTGACTCCTTCCAGGTACACCAGTGTCCAGCATCGGTTGCACGGGAGGGTCTCGAGATGCCACTGGCTACCTGGGGGTGCAAGCAAATGGTTGCTTCTGCTCTTTTTCTGGGAGAGAATATGCTTAACGTGTCACTTTCTGGTCTTCGGCCTTTCCCCGTTATGCTTTTTGGGCATGTTTAGGGGTAATAGGGTCGTTTGGGTTAGGTTTAGTGCATGCGCGTTCTTTTTTTCAAATTGCTTTAGGGTTAGGGTTAGCGTTAGTCAAAGCAGTTCCAAATATATGTGACAAGCGATTGATTCAACCTTGGAGAGCTAGCAGCGAGCCTGAAATCACGTCTCATCGACCATATTTTGTGGCCTGAAGCGTCCAATGGACGAGTGTCTCAAACTGTGGACACATATGCTCCTTTCTGCTACGAAATTCTGCACAAGTGGCTACAATTTGCTGCGGATTGGATGCCATCACCTGCTACCATACGCACGTCAAACAGCACACATCTAATGACCCTCCCTTATCTGACAATCTAGGAGACATGCACATCACCAATATACTCCTGAGAGTGTCTGAACCGGTGCATGTTTTGCTGGACAGGACAACCGACGGGTCGAGATGTTCTTGATGCTCCTGGAGGCAATTTCCTCCTTGGGGTATTCGCTGCCTCGTGGTGCAACCTATGCTTCATAGTGTATTTGAGCACATGTTGCCGTTGGCACAGGCTGGACACTTCAAAGGGGCCCGTGGTCCATTGCGTTCTGCTACTGTGGGCCTTTACCTTCGAACTCGCCGAAGGCGTGTTACTCTATCTCTTGGAGGATGACGCCGTGCCAGTGACTGTAGCCGTGGTAATTTTCGTGGCCCCGGCCGCTCTGTCTACAGCCCTGTTGTTCGTAGCCCACCGCTCCTTAGGCGCTACTCTACTGAACTTTGCGGTGGAAGCTGTCTTCGCCTACCTCACCGTATCATATGTTGTGGAGAAGTCCGCCACAAACTGGTTGATTTTCGGCAGCCTGGGCCTCAATGAGGCTGTAGTCGCTACCGCCTTGCACTTGCTCGAGTCACGCAAAGCGGAGTCGCGTCAAGTCCCAGAATCCACCGGTGGAGGGAGATTCGAGCGATTTCTATCCCCGTGTTGCCAATGTTTCGAGCGATTTCTATCCTCGTGTTGCCTTATGTTCCAAGCGATTTCTATCCCCGTGTTGCCGATGTTTCAAGCGATTTCTATCCTCGTGTTGCTGGCATTTCAAGCTATTTCTTTGCTTCCCGTGTTTCCCGTATTGCCTGTGTACACATCTTGGTACTGCAGAAACATCTGTAGCTACCGCCGGTATGTGATGGTCGAAGACAAGATTAAGCAAGCATTTCCCTTAGGGGATCGCCAGGTTTCAGGAGATGATATGAGTGGCAGTGAGGTGGTAGGGGTGGCTACCATATTTCGTGATCTTTTCGCCAAAGGAGCAAGTGAGGTACTCTTCTCAGTCCTCACTCCGCTCCTCTTGCGATACATGTACCGGGAGAGCGTTGCAAGGTCGACAACAGCTACAGCTCTCTACGTCATAGGTCCGTTCGTGGACGGGGTAGTGTTTAAGATGAAGTACAAGGAACCATTCACGTCGGTTTCCAAGTTCAAGAAGGCTGGCAAGGTTTTCTTGGTCGTCGGGAACGCGTGCTATTGTGTATTTAGGTTGTTCGTTCTGGCGACGACAGTCGCCAATGTAGGCTGGCGTCCCTTTGATACTACGTATGCTATCGTGTCCGCGACATTTTCGGCCGTCTGTATGATACCTAAAATTCTGGATTGGATTGTTGGCGATGTTCCGGTGGCTGTGGAGAAGAACGAAGAGCCAAAAATCGGCGAATCGCATCGCCCGGCCGACTATATCGGCCCTTCCTCAGGGATCTTTGAAGTACCACACCCGGTGAAGTCCAAAGCAGCCTTGGTTATGTCAGTGGACCAGAGCTAGCGTCTTGGGAAGTTTGTTTGTATTGTCGGGGTCGGTAAGATTTGAGATCTGGCGCCTGCCGTGATACATGAAGGGGTGAGTAGAACCCCGTAGATCGTACCCAGTACCGAGGAGGGGGGCTGTTATTGATGTATACCTACGAGGCTAGATGCTGATCTGCGGGGATCTGAAGCTACGCGCATAATATTAGTAGTGTGGGAGTAGCGAACCCGCTCCTACACCGGGCCCACGGGCCTACTCTCTAAATGAAAAACGTCATTTCTGCCAATCCTCATATTACGAGCTGCCCCAGACACCGGAGTTGCCTGCTGAGGAGTCGTGGAAATGAAAAGGGAGGCCGTCGCGGAGAACGTCGAGCTGAAGATGCAAATCAAGCACCCTGTCCTGAGCTCAAAGGCGTTGTATGCATAGACAAGGTGTTTTCCCTAGCGAACACCAGGAATGGGCGAACACTTGGTACGACCCGAAACATCTGAACCACAAGAATGAGGCTGTTTCGAGGAGGAAGGCTTTCGACCCTCAACTCAAAGTTTTCCAAAATATCCACAAACATGGTGTTTGGGGGACTTCGGAACAGGTTTCAGAGAAGTCCCCCTAGGTCGAGCGGTCGTTCAAGTTTGATCGTAGGTGACAAGTGATACACATCACAAGCAGTAATGTAGGGGCTTTCGAGGCCAAACGGTGGCGCGTGTAGAGTGATGAGGTTCGTGAGCGCTTTTTTGAGGCTGTCATTCCCCTTCTCACCCTCGTCGGATGCTTGTCTTTCTGACGAGGAAGGAAAGTCGAGACGAGAGCTTGCGGAAAACACGGTAGGTTCTTTCGCGAGAGGTCGTAGTTCAACTTTGATCGTTGGCTAACAAGTGACTTTCGGGGGCAAATGTTGAGGTACGCAGTGATGGGGTTCGCGAGCGTTTGTTCAAAGGCTGTCCTTCCCTGTTGTATGCACATCACTGAGTACGTATCTCCGGGCCTCCTGGGGTCATGTACGTTTTTGGTTTGAGGGGCAGAGAGAAAGCAAGGGTGCCCGCAGTTTTCCGATTGGTCGTATTTTCCTTTTCTTGCCCCCTTTTCCAAGGCGAAAACATGGGCGGGGTGCTTCAAGTTTTCGACTCTGCATGTTCACGTGCGCCTTCGTTCGGTCTCCCACCCGCTAAGGATATTGGTCTTGAGTGACCCGTATTTTCTCTTCGGACCACTGACGGGGCTGCTGCACTCAAACAGCCGCATCCGGTTACGGTTTGGGGGAATGTTTACTAGAACGGGCACACTTGCCTTGGAACGGTTCTCAGGAACGCCTAGAAGAAGAACAGTGTTTGTTGTGTTCGTGGACCCGGAGTTGGTTTGTGAACTCCCCAAAAGCCATCTCCGACTCCACTCAGTCCTGGACGCTCAAATCATTTAGTCTAGGGCATTTTTTCCGGAAGTCAAGCCGTCTGAGATTTCCGACTTATATTGTATATACGCATGTATGTCGAGGTCAGCCATAAAGATATTCGTGCGGACAAGCGATGTGAACCACGTTCGACTCATATCTCGATATTGACTTGCGGTTGACCGGCACCTCAACCGGGTGCGGGGTGACCCCACGGATGACCGATGCAGTCCAACACGGTCACGAAAAGTCATGGCCACGGTTTCGGATATTGTTCTCTCACTGATTGCCCTCCCTGAACACTGATCACTGAGTACCTGTATCCACTATTTATTTCGCAATGGTCACCACTCGTTACACAAACACGTATATTGCCAAAGCACGTTTCGTGCTGCCGTCCAAGAACCCTATTTTGTACACACATACAAAGACTGTGCAACATGCTCCTCTTCTGTAGTCTTTGCAGAACCCCCTCCTCTAGCTCGCACGAACTCTACGAACCCCCCCCCCCCCCCCTAATATCTGCATGCTCCGGTGGTGTCCCTTGCGACAATACAATGATCATGGCCGCCAGCCCCTTTCAGGCACAACGCAGGGTACAGACTATTCATTGCGCTCTACCATGGTTGGTTACATAGCACGAGTTGTCGACAACAGCTCTTTCTTGCCGTGAAAAAGCATAGCAAGACAGATCTGCAAAAGGCACCAAACAAGACAACATACCGCTAATAATATGAAGCAATCACGACCATTCATGACCAAAAGGGCAAAAAGGAAGTCGTGGGCGTTTTTCACCACGCTCCAAGACGACCAAGGACTACAAACGTTCTTGTTTCCCACACACACCAACCTCTCCCAACCCTCAAGCCCTTCCACCGTTCACCCGGCATCCAGCCCGCAACCGAGGGCGAGGAGGAGAAGGCCGCATTGCTCCTGCAACGCTTTCCGCGGCACCTTTCCACCCACACCCACCAGAACAGAAGACCAACCACATATGTTGTAGATGTGTTGGCTGTGTGGGGGTCAAACCGTGATGGGTTCTATGATCGTGTCCGTGTCTACCTCGAATCCTCCACGACAGGCATCATCGGCCCCCGATAACCACGAAGAGGGGGGCTTGCTTCTTGGCTTCGCACCGCCGGCAAAAAAAAAAAAGAAGTCGCGCGCATGTACTGTATCGCACTGCGCATGTATGTCTCGATGCCAACGCCTCCACCGCCCAACGAGCTGCTTGCTTGTGGGTGACTCGAGCAGATGGTGACGTTCTTGATCTCCATGAAGCCATACATGGGCTTATGGGCAAACAACTTGGAGCGAAGCTTATTGCCGTTATCCGAGAGCGAGAGTCAAACTACTATATGTATTCGGTTTTTCGTAAAGTTACGCAGCGCTGTTGGTCGGTGTTGATGTGGCCATTTCCGTTGTTGGGTCGTGTCGTGTCGTGTCCTGTCATCACCAAGTCTCCTTCGCCGAAGCGCCTCCCTCAGTGTCGTCGCCCCAGTTCATGTCGTAGCCCTGATGGTAATGGCGGGTGGCAATGATGAGTCCCCACAAGACGTGATTGCAGGGAGGAGAGGGGTTAACAAGAGGGCGACGACAAAGCCCGGCTCAGATCTCTAAAACTACCGGGTGGGGCTCGTGAAGCTGATTGTCACATAAGCGCACAGCTGCGCAGAAGAGTGACCCCCGTTTGCGAAGGGCGGGTGGGCTATCCGGACACGCTCTAATAATACTGGTCCTGTCATGCCATACTCTTGTGCGCATAAGGAAAACGCCAACTAAGCATCATCTGAGAAGACAACATAGTTACGTTCGGTGTTGCAAAGCTTTGGTCGCCATCCACGTTTCTCAATACGAAACGATTCAAGAGTGCTCTCTCCAGTGCCATTGAAAACACTCGGTAGTGCTTCACAACAAACTACCAGGAGGTTTTTAGCGTGAGGGCAAAATAAACAAACGCAAAAAACCAAACGCACCAACTCACACGCACTACGACTCATACCATCCCTCGTCCGAGTCGTTTAAGCGTGTGGTAGACAACGACTGGTTTCCTGCTTTGTCTTACCTTTGCCTCCAGCGCCTTGTGCAAGGATTCTCTGTGCGCCTCGCCGAACGTTTCCACCACCACCTTGATTTGCACCTGTTTTTTTCGATTTTTTCGCACCAAAGAACGGCAAGAAATCGCCCAAAGAACGATTGATACTCGGGCGGCGTTGGGGGCGAATGACTGACATTATCCCCCCAAAATAGTGGTGTGCTTACAAGAGTGCAAAACTATTTTCCTCTGAGTATCAACAATTTCACTGTAGCCTACCAGTAATACGTCGCAGAGGAATCGAGATTGCTCCGGGACCCTTCTCGCTTTCAACGACGAATACATGAATGGCGGGGCGGGGGGGGGCGAGCGAATCTGCGTAGCCCCGGGTCTGGGTGAGGCTATTCAGCTGGGAATAATAGGTCGTGTGCACGGCGGGTTGTAGCTGCAAGAGACAAGAGACGGCACTTAGAGGTGGTTGGTTGGCTAAGGCCGCATGTCCAGCGCCGAGCGCGTGGACATCTCTGCGGCGAAGGCGTCGACGCCGCTCGCGGTTCAACACCAACGAACCAACAAAGCCGAGAAAACAACTTTGAAGTCAACACCATATTCAGAAGAAAACGGTGCCCGGTGTATAGCCTTCATGACTAAAGGCAAATTTTCACCGCACACAAGGAGAGCGTTGTCAACTTTTGAGGGGACAGCGGCGGGGGGAGGGGATGGAGGAAAATATCGGCAACCACAATGAGACACAATAGAAGGGCCATGCATACACACCTGGTCCATGTTCGAGTGAAGCCACGCCCGCTCGTGGTAGATGTCTCTGATGCTCCCGCCCGCCTGCGAAATGCTGCGCGAAGGAGATATTGACGATGGCGATGGGGGTGTTCAGAGGAGAGCGTGGGAAGGGACAGGCGGTATATGCGCAAGGGGATAGGCAAAGAGGGGGCACGGGCTCTGTACTTGAGGTAAACACCGAAAACAGAATCGGAAGAGCAAGATGCCCGGTGCTAAATAGGCTACCACCGAAAGAAAACATAGAGAGGATATGGGCGATACATGCGGGAGAGAGCGATGGGGGGGGCGTGGGAAAATGTGCAGTACAGTTTTGTGGGCACGATGGAAGCAACCGGCGAAAGAGAAGAGGACCAAACAAGAGAGAGTGTCGACAAAGTAGCACCGATACAATACCTAATGCAGTGGAGGGGAGGGGGTCAGATGGACACCTTGGCGGCATCAACGGGCCGAAATAACTCAGCCAAAGCCGCAAGGAAAACAGGCTCGATCGCAAAACATCGAACCTTGTGGTCCAAGCACACACCTCAAGACTCCAAAAATGCTATTCAACGACCACACAGCGACAACCAAAAGGGCTTACCAACACAAACAATAGCACACAGTAGTCAACCGGTTGGCGTTGTCGATGCTCCTAAAGTAAACACACACGATTACATACAAAAAAGGCGACAAAAAGAAGAAAAAAAAAAACGTCGACTCACGAGGCAGCGAGCTCCGCGATTCCCCCCGGTCGGTCCGACACCGTCGTCACGAACCGCACCAGACGCATGTCCGCCGCCAGCCCTCTGTCGATCACGCGCCCGAGGACGGGCACGTCGATGTTACCGCCGCACAACGGGATCACCACCTTCTTGCCTGCTCGGGCAACAGCAGCAGCAGCCATCGGGGACGGCCACGGCAGGCCAGCGGTGGCGGGACCCGGGGTGGGGGGGGGGGTGGGGTCCGTACGTGCGACCAGGAGACACACACAAAAAGTACGGCGAGGAAAGGGATGGGGATAGCTTGTGAGTGTTTCTACGCGTGGCGGCCGTGTTTTGGAGGTGAGATGCCACAAGACTGCGACAACGGCATCCCCGTCAGTCAAAAGAGTGGATGGCTCCCTTCGTGTGCGTTCCGATACGCGGGCTCAAGCGGGGGCACCGCAGATGCGACAACGGGGGATGCCCCAAGTTTTTATATGTACACATATATTTGACGGATGGATGTCTTGCCTTTAAGGCCGGGGATGTCGAGGGGGCCCCCGGGGAGGATGGCGGCCAGCCCCGAGGCCCCGCCGCCTTCCACGACGAACTTCTCCATCTCCAGGAGGCGGAGCACTGACAGCGCGATGTACTTCTCCGACACGAGCGAGACGCCGTCCACGTGAGCCTGTGCGACCTTGAACGCCTGGCCCCCGACCTGAGGAGGGGCGGCGCGGAGCGAAGCGAGAGAGGGGGAGACGACGGGACCACAGGGGGGAAAAATTACGGAAAATATAGAAGCTCATCCGCCGCGAGGCTTTTTATCCGAAGGTCATCGTGAAAAAGAACAGGCTTCGGGATATGGGGGGAGGGCGGGGGGGGGGTAGCGATGAACTGAACATTGCATGCGGAAAGAGTGGGAGACAAGCTGCAACAAACGCGAAAAAAATACAACAACACAACACACACAAAAAAAAATGAAGGATAGTTGCCCAACGAAAAAGGAGATGAAACGAAAAGGGTGTAGCACAAAAACCACGCTATGAATTCATTGTTAATCTGTCTCAGACTATTTTCTATGATAGAGATGGATTCGTTGTGTCATATTAAGAAAAAAAGAAAAAAAGGAAAACTTCTTCCAAAAACTCAGGCCTACACACCGTAGGCACGGCGAGTCCATCGGCCAGAGTGGCGGTCGTCTCCGCGTGCACCGGCTTGCCAGCCTTCAGTGCCGCCGTGAGGCTCGGGCAGAAGTGCGGCTCCACTCCAAGAACCTGAAAGAAGGTGCGCGCCGCCGCCGCCGCCGCCGCAAAAAGAAAGAGGAAACGAAACGCAACAAAACGATCCAAACGAAACGAAACACGAGAGAGAAATGAAAACGAAACGAAAAAAAATGAACGAATTGAAACGGAATCAAACGAAACGAACAGAAATGAGAACGAAATGAACCAAAACGAAGGAGAACGACGCCAAAAGACCACCACCGACGGAACCCAAGGGGATTGCGGTTGTTGCTGTCTAAGCATGCCTCCTACGAAGGTTGTCTTCAACCTCAATAACTGCTGTCGCTGAGGTCGACTTCTATCCTTTATCGCTGTACGTTTCCCCTCCTCTCTTTCCTAGTCGAGCTCTCTCGTCTTCCGTGCTTCTGTTCTCCCGCTGTCCCAAACATTCCCCGGGGTCATCTAGTATCGAGGTACCCCCCCCCACACACACACCTTGACCTCCGGCTGCAACGTCTTGGTGGCGAGGGCGATGCCGGCGATAAGCCCGGCGCCTCCCACCGGAACAACGATGTAGTCCACGTCGGGAACCTGCTTTCGGTTTCGTTTGGACGACACGACATGTCGTTTGGGTTGTTGGTTCTCAAGGCAAGACAGCAGCAGCCAGGAGCACACAGCAGCAACATGAGGCAGCCATCCTTGACAGCGCAGCGCGCGTCAAATCACCACTGCAAAAACCACATTCAAGTCGAGCAATAGTAGGAGCGAAATCACATCACAACGGGCCACGGAGTATGGCAAGGTGGGCAGAGGGTGGTGGATTGTTGTTGTTAGCGTGTGCAGGCACACCGACACCCCTCACATGAACGCTAGAATACCTACGGCACGGTTTAGCTGTAGATCCCGCCCCCCCCCCCCCCCCCCCCCCC